ACGAGGTAGACAGACACGACCGGAACGAGGTAGACAGACACGACCGGAACGAGCTAGACGTGTAAACGGTCGTCAGAACCGAGCTCGGCCTGGTTAACTGATCCGAGCTCGGACCGGTCTCGGCACGGTTCTTCAAGGGTAGTCTAAATTGGGTAATAAGCTCCAGCAGGCCAATCCATCCACAGCCAGAGGCTGGGAATTAGCTCACCAACTACAGATCAGAGCATCTCAGGCTCTGCTGGGAAAAAACTACTTCACTGGAAAATCTTAAATAATAAAGTCTTTAGGGGCCCCAAGATGTTCAGTGTTTGTGTGAAATACTGAAGCAGATGAGAGAATAATGGAGAGCAGCCTACCAGGCATCGCTTCATCTGGAAGGACTGAACCTTGACAGCCTGGACGGCTTCATCCAGAAGCTTCTCCTGTTCATCCTGAGCCGACTGCTGCGTGGTTGGCTGGAAGAAAACAACAACAGGCTTTTATTCTCAGCTTCCTGCGCAGCAACGTCCTACTGAGAGCAGCAGCAGCTACTGCTCTGCATGCAGCCACTACAGTCTGATCTAGGTGCTTCACAGCCATCTATGGAGAAACAGGACAGATTTAAATCAGGGCTGGGCGATAAATCAAGTCATGTTTTAAAAGTCCAACATTTGAAATTTTGCCAAAAAAAACGAGAACTTCTATTCTTCATTTCTGACCTGTGCGTTTCTCCCGCCGGCTACTTCCTCCTCCCACCCCATAGCATGCTACACCATAGATATGACAGCGCAGGAATTACAGGCGCCATGTTGGGGAGGTCGAGCTGCTACCCTAAGCTGGCCCCTAAGAAGGACGCCTCAGCACTGCAGCGGGTTTTAGTTTACATCTACAGACTGATGACATCAGGGGTGGAGGGAGAACTTCCTGAAGCCATCAGAGCTTTGGACACATACAGCAGATATACGCAACATAGAACAGAAACGCCCTTTGGTGTCCCACAGCGGGGAAATGGTGCTGTTACAGCAGCAAAAGTGGTCACACAAGGTGGACGTCAACAAGTATAAAAACAATAGAATAAGTGACAGAGTGAAAACATTGATCCAATTTTATTTATTAAGCAGTTAAACAGTGTTTATACAGGAATGAGTAACTCTAACGCTCTTAAGNGTATTTTTGATGAGGTATAAGAAAGGTAGAGCAAAGTAGAGGTGAGAGAATGTGATCTGGAAAATGCAATTTATAAAAATAATTTTGAAAAATAAAATCAGAGAAACCCTTTTTGATGAAGAAGATTTCAAAGTTTTATCTGTGGATTATCCTTTTTTTTAATTGAATTTCCATTTATAAAACATTTTCATTACAAAGATAATGGAGTAGATTTCACTCCATAACCATCCAGCTGTTTACCCCTCAAACTGCGGCAGGTTTCTGACTCTCTGGCTCCCCCTACAGCTGGTGCCTGTAACAGCCCTGCAGGTTAAATAAAGGGAAGGTCCTTGACATCTTCACAGCATCCATCATGTTGCTCTGCAGGTGGTCGGCAGTATGGACGCCCACCCCAGCAGGTACTGCGCCACAGTCCGCGTCCAGAGACCCAGGCAGGAGGTCATCCAGGACCTGGCCTCCATGGTGCGAGAGCTCCTGATCCAGTTCTACAAGTCGACACGGTACAAGCCCACCAGGATCATCTTCTACAGAGACGGCGTGTCGGAGGGGCAGTTCAGACAGGTGACGCTTCTCATCCCGCTCAGTTCTGATCTCCAAACAGGTCAATGAAACACAGGAAAAGCTGTACGCATCGAATTTTCATTTTCTGTACACTCTGTGTATATAAAATGACAATAAAGTTTGTTTAAGTCTGACTCATCCTCATTCTTTGATGAGCAGATTGAAGCCTGGAAGCATTCATGTATGTTTATGATGAATTCAGAGGCACTAAATCAGAAATAATCCCTAATTAAGTCCCAGTTCTGAGCCGTGGAGACTTTATCAGACTCTAAAGGCTGCATGGCCGTCGGCTCCTGCTAAGTTGACGCTGATCTGAGGACTATGGGCCTCCGTATCATCCGTCTCTGCAGGTGCTGCACTACGAGCTGCTGGCCATCAGGGAGGCGTGCATCAGTCTGGAGAAGGAGTACCAGCCGGGGATCACCTTTATCGTGGTCCAGAAGCGCCATCACACCCGTCTCTTCTGCGCAGATCGGAACGAGCGGGTGAGACTGGAGTAAAACCAGCACAGACTGGGAGCCTTTAACACATTAAAGGTCCCAAAAGCT